AGAAAAGAAAAGAAAAGAAAAGAAAAGAAAAGAAAAGAAAAGAAAAAAGAAAAGAAAAGAAAAGAAAAGAAAAGAAAAGAAAAGAAAAGAAAAGAAAAGAAAAGAAAAGAAAAGAAAAGAAAAGAAAAGAAAAGAAAAAGAAAAGAAAAAGAAACTGACTTTCAATGGCTGAGAAGATCATTTTTTAATTTAGATTTCATAAAAATGAACCCCCTTTTCAGTGTTACAGTACGTAAAGATTGCTCAAGAATCCTTGTAACTCTGTGTTGGTTTTTTTTTTTCCCTTCATTAAGAAATCTCAAAGTATTTATTTCCCTTCCATATGAAAAATTGAAGAGGCTAAGAAAGACACACGACCATACAGAATACTCATTTTAACTGCTTGGATGACAAATCCATTGAAATGAACTGGCAAATGCTGCCAAGGGTACAAGAACTCAAACTATTTCTGAATGGAGTGTGAATGCTGCAGGGGGGGAAGCCATTATTAAACGGCATTTTCTGTTTCAAAAAAAGAAAGGAAAAATGAAAGAAATACCCCATTCCCAGGAGAGTCCCTGGTGCTGGCCAATCAGAAATTATCCTACCTCATGTCACCAGCCCCTTGCATTTATATCTTTTAGGGTGACATACTATTGGTTGCTAGTTAGGCTCTATGGGAGGGATTAGTGGCACTCTTTGTGGCTTCCCCTTTAGGTCCTTATTTGGTAGCTGTTGATAGAGCAAGTCTTTCCAGCAGCTGAGCATCTTGACATACATTATTCATTAAGTCCTGGTGTTCAGGAAATATGCATATCCCTAGCTCTTCTGATATTTCTTCAACTCATTCAATATGTCTCTTCAACATTGCCTGTGAGTGCTTGGAATTTTACAAATGGCATTTTTACAATCAGAAGACTACACAGTTGGATTTCATTTCAGAGTGCCTCCTGTGCACACAGTTGCTGAGAACCTGAAGATCAGCAAAAAGAATTAGGAGAGAAGGCATCTTTCTTCTTGAAAGTCTTTTGCGGTATCAGATAGCAAAGAACTGAACAGCTTAGATTTGGTAGTATAGAAAAAAAAAATCAAAAATGCCTGAGGCAAACTATTTACTCTCAGTTTCTTGGGGCTACATAAAGGTAGGATTTTGTTTTACCTTTTAAGAACATTGATTTGCGGTGTGTGATTGCATGATTACTGGATATCACGAGTATTTGCGGATAACAGGGCTATGGGTAATATGCATATAAAGTCAAAAATCAGAAAAGCACGCCTTTGTTCAGCAGTGAGGATGAACTGCACTGTATACAGTCTTTCTTATGTGCTGGAACCTGTAAAATAATGTTGCAGTAGTGGATAATTAGACAGTACACAGTGCCATAGAAATTCAGAAGAGTTTTGTGTTCTTTTATGAAAGATTGCTACAAAAATGTATTTATAGATCTTAAAGGATTAAAAACAAAACAAAACAAAAAAATCACTAAAAACTGAGGCAGCATACAATAGGTTACAGCGTGATTAAAGAGGCTGAGGATAATGGATGAATGCATGACTCATACTGATTTTAACAGCTGAAGAAATGTGAAATTATCAACAGTATGTTTCAGCAGCATTTTCTGTTAGCCTGTGCATGTGTGACAGTTTATTGACTAAAACACAGGGAGACTGAAAATTGTGTTCTTCTAATATTGATCTACATTATTATGTAGAGCAGCTTTGAACTAGCTTGAAGCTGCAGTTGTGCTAAAAAATAGTATTAAATCAGCTTTTATCTCTTTTATGGGAAAGTTTTGCACCAATAAATTAAATCAGTGTGCCAGTTAATGAAATTCACTTAATACCAAGCTAGGCTTGGGCACTGTTTTATCTCTGTTTGTTTATTTGTGCTTAAAAACAAACAGTGATATTTCCATACGGTTAATGAAGCATCATCCTTTGATTGACATGTAGTAATTCTTCCAAATAATCCAGTTTCTCTTTTTTACTGAATTAAATTTAATTAAATCACTAAATATTACAAACAAAATACTCACTGATTTTTTGTATTACTACCTGCCTTTATAATTTATTTGTTTTGAAAGTGGAAGTGTAAAACCCTCATTAGGTCATTGTGTCCGATCAGGTCATTGTGACCATTCTCTGCTACTGCAGAATTGTTACGGTGTATTCTCAAGGATTTTGTTCAGTCATCTGTGAAGAGACTGGATTCTGTTATGCTGACTAGGTGGATTCCTTTCTCGTTTATAAAAAAATAAGATGCAATTATTTTCCATTCAGCTAATAGAAAAGTATTTATTGTAATTTGCTTGGAAATATTTTCTGGATTGCCAGACAGATACTGTGGTGTTCTTTCTTGCTCAATAACAAAAATTAAATCACCAAACTTAAAAAAAAAAAAAAAAAAAAAAAAAAAGAAATCACTGTTACTTACCTTTAAAATGGTTACAGTTATTAATTAAAGCTGAGTAGGCAGCTCAGCAGTGTAGCTGCAGCTGATTACACATGGAAAATATGTCCTCTATTGTATAGACAGTGTCCTATACTTTGTATAGCTAATGATTTCAATATAGAAGTAAAGTAGTACTTAAATACAGTTATAGCATAGTGCTTCCTAAGTTCACAGCATGCATATCTTAGGAAAAATGTGAAGATGTAGAGGAAGATCTACACTTACTGGCAAACAAAATTCAATAATTTAGAATATTTTTGAAATGACAAGAAAGACTGAGGTGTGTTAGGTCATGACATACATTTGCATTCCTTACTATTTATATATTTTACTTACTTGTTTGTGCTTCAGGCTATACTTTATTGTCTTCTTTTAAATTATATTGGAGAGAACGATGGCCTGATGGATGTAAGAGATTGGCTTTCACTGAGTATTGCTTCAATAAACATTAAAAACAGAAACCTGATGAATCTATAAGGCTGGCATATTTTCAGTTATGTATAATAGTTTAGTGTATATATATATATATATAATTTGCATATATATATACACATATATACAGTTAATATATATAGTATGTATAAATAGTACTGTTTGTTTTATTTTGAGTTATGAATGCCTTTCTAAAAAGTAGCTGTTTTGAGGAGAAGGTAGCCTGAGTGAGAGAGGTCCTCTTAGGGTATCTCCACCTAAGGCAGTTCTGCATGCTTCTCCCTATGCAAGTTAACTGCAGACTGTGTATTTATTGAAGCTTTTTGTTACTGAATCAAGGGATGACATTATGCAAAAGATGTAATCAGTAAACTGCATTTATATTAAGTGTGCAGACCAAACTTCTTCATAGCCATGAACTGATTTTCTGGGTAGATCTTTGTGTCTTCAGAGTTGAACATGAAGTTTCCTCTGGCTTACAGATGCTAAGTCTCCCCAAATTATATCAATCTGGTCACCATTTGGGAATAGAGTTACTGCGAAAGACAGTCCAAATTTTTTTACATAACTTTGCTGACATCATCAGAAATCATATCTTTTCCTCCACAGAGTTGTTTATTTATACCATCAATTGGCTGTAATATATTTATACAGTGACATGGACACACAGAGCACAATTGTAGAAGGACTTTAACTACCCAGCTCATTTCTCAGTCTGTAATGTGTTCTTTGAAGATGACTGCTATTTAGAAACCTTTTCTTATCAACACATTTATTCTTATGCATTACAGCTCTCCTGGTATTTTCAGATTTTGTTTCTTTTTTTACTAAACTCTGCTTGTGTGACAGCAGTATTCAGCAGTGAAGAACTGCATAATTGACTTAATGGACATTTTATAGCCTGTTCATTTCCTGAGGGAATTTCCTGGGTGATAGTCAAGGGCAGTTATATTCTAGGGAGGTACAGAAATGTCATTTTTCTAATCTTACAGAACCTAGCATGTAAAATGTGAAAACCTTTCTGAAGAAGAATGCAATATATGCATAACCTTTCCAAAAGCCTCCACTTTCTGCCTATATTGAGCTGACAGTATCGTAATTTAGTTGTATGATGTAAATGTAAATTTGTAACAGCAGGTTGGATCCATTGTGACTGATTCCCTTCAACTAGGAGTGTATGTGCTATTCAGTTTTTAAAAACTCTTAGTTAAAATGTGCTTTACATTTACTATTAATAGCAAGAATTTCTTCATGGTTAGTTTGACTTTTTGTCAAAAAGTGCTAAATGTTACTTCTGAGATGACAAATGATGAGAGTATAGGTAGTCTAGCCAAGTTCCAAGCACTTACAAGAGATGTTTCCTGGATGACTGAAGCAGTGTTGACTCACGGATAAAACAGAAACTCCTCTGATTTGCAGTGAGATCTTGCGGGAGCCACATGAGACTTAGGCAAAGATTTATTCTCAAATAACAGTGCAGGGATACATAAATGTGTGGAAAGCTGATGTTCCTTGAACAAGCAACTGCATAGGGTTTTGCTTAGGCCTGTATAAAGTTTCTGAAGACTTGGTAAAATTAGAGGCTTAGATTTGGTGTATTTTTTCTTCTCCAAAGGAGATTTTAAACATGAAAGGATTAAGTAACATGCAGATATACTGAAACCAGATCGTTTTTTGATTATTTTGCAATATCTCTGTCACTCTTCATTTCTTTTATTTCTCTCATACTTTATTGTTCTTCATCAGAAACAGCTGTCTGCTTACGGTATACAACTTCATATGATTCAGTGTGGATGACAGTCATAAGGTTTAGTCATGTATAATTAGGAAATCAAAGCAGTTTTCTGAACTCCATCTCAGTCCAGATGTTTTCAAATAGTTGTCAGTTAAAACCCATTCAGCAGCAGCACAACCTTTTCCAGGTTTTATGCTGATGGTCTAGCTTATGTGTTCAGGTCGCTTGTGGGTTGATTGGAGGAGGAAAGGCAGGTCTCTGCATCAGACAGAAATGTAGAAGTAGAAGGGACTAGTGTGCCCCATCAAGACTAGTCCTCTGTCGCTGTGAGCAATAAATATTTATTTCAAAATTCCTAGAGAATGTACTACAAGCTCTTCAAGATGATGCCCAGTGCACAGTAAAAAACCCGAAAGCTCAAAAGCCAGAATTGTTCTCAGCACTGGAGAACAACAACACACAGGATATCCTAACCTCTGTGTTTATATGATATTATTCTGTGTAATGTAGAAATAGTCCAAATGCTAAGCTCCAGCTGAGGGCAAAAAGGACTCCCAGTGTTTATTACACTGAACATGCTGGAAAACTTCTAGCTGCTAGTCATTATACAGAGTGTTTAGCACTGAGTGTGAGCATTGCTTGAGAAATGTAATTCTGCAGCATCGCGAGGTACTCCATCCACTTTCTGTAAGTGGAACTAGCCTCCAGTGTTAGGAAGAAAGATATTTTTCTCCCTTTCTGCTCAAAATTAAATATATGAATCAGAGAAAAAAAAAAAATCACTTTTTTTTTTTTTTTTTTTTTTTTTTTTTTAGTCAGGTAGCTGCAGAGGAGGCTTTTATAGATGAGTTCCCAAGTCATACTTATGAGCAGTGGCTAGATGAACCTTTTTTAAAGAGCAGCAGTTGTTTTTCTCTGCAGCTGCAAAAACTGAACATCAGAGTCACCTATGCGGGCATATCAGGAAACAGCTAGATAGACACAGACTTGTGGAGAGGGATCCAGAGACATTAGCAGCATTAAAATTAAGAATGAGAGAAAATTGGGGCAGTAGTAAATATACTGATGACATATCTGGAAGTTAATGCCATTTTGTCAACTTCTGGCATTTGATTATTCCTATACATTTCATGTAAAGTTTCAGGTTCTGAATGTAGTGTGGAGAAAAGTAAGTCTGTGAGATTGTCATTGTGAATTATTTCTCAACTTGGGTGTGTGAAAAAAGCTGTGGACTTAAAGGCATGTTAACAAATTAAAGAAGGGCTTTAAAATGTATTTTCAGGACTTTTAGCACTGTTATGTTATTTTTTTGCAAGGATTGACTCATTTTTAAATATTTATAACATTGGTCACAAACATGTAATGTCACTGTAGAGGACAGTGCTGGTTTCATGCAGAATATGTAGCCATAAAGCTCATAGCTTAAAAAGTGTTTGCAGTATGGTTCAGATTTTCGTAAATCTGTTGAGCTCTTTCTGGCACATGGGTGTGTTTAAGATAAAAATTGTGCCATTGGTATGTGAGAGAAGTAGCATTTGTTGTAGGAGTCTTTGTAGGAGGAAATTCCTGGGCTGATGGCATGTCAAGGTGGCAGGAAAACGCAGTGGCTAATGGTTAGAGAGTTACACTAAAGGCAATTTTTATATGGTGCACTGTGAGCAATACAGTAATTCGTGACTTCCAAAGGCATTGTAAAGAAAATAATATCTTTAGCTGTGCAAAGCCCCTTTGAAGCAAAGGCTTTGATTTCAGTGGGATGAAACGGAAAAGAAATGGATAATGTTTTGTCTAGTGCTTTGTTTAATATATAAAAGAAGAATTTACCAATTTTCTACATAAAGAGAACTTCTACAGGGTTGTATACTGAGGACAGAGATTGCTTAATGTAACAAATAGTCATGACTGGGTGAACAAAGTGGACGATGAGTCTGAAAATAACATAAATTGCTTCACTTTGTTAAGAGAAGACAGGAAACTAATAAAAAATGAGAAGATGGTGAAATAGTAGACTAAGTTCCATTATGACAGATATTGATTTAAACTGGAAGGATTTTTTTTACTGGATTATGGGTATTGCTGAGTTCTATTTATTGGTAATATCAAGACAGGTGTCAGAGCACTGGCACAGGTGTCAGAGCACAGAGGTTGTGGAGTCCCCTTCAGAAATTGCCTGAGTGTGGGCTGGGGCACCCTGCTTTGGCAGCCAGATGAACCTGAGGGATCCCTGCCAACCCCAGCCCTTCTGAGATTCTGCAAGGATGTCTTTTAATCCTGTATTTCTGAATGAATTAAGAAAGAACTATAATGATGCAATTAGCGATTGGTATGCTAATATCCTCTTGCATAAAACAGATTACCTGTGGGACTTGCTATCTCACAGGGAAAACAAGTTTTCATAGATAGCTGTTTTCTGTATCATGTGGGTACTGGAAATTTTCTGAGGCATCAGACAGGGCAAGTCATTGAATTGACAAAAATAATTTTAAGAAAAACATAAGCTTAGTTCTGTTTGTACTGGCGTGTAGGAACTCAGTAAGTTTGATACATTTAAGGAGTGCCATCAAATATATTGTGTAGATCAGTGATGAGGCATGCAGCTTGAACAGTTGTAAAATATATCACCAAAAATGCACAGTAAGTTAATTTATTAGTATGATAAGATATCCTAATAGACAAGGTCTTGTATAAACATGCTTGCATTTTATCTTCAAATTAAAATGAAAACCTGAAAAAAAGATGCACTGTTTGTATTTTTATGCATATGCCTTATAGCTTTCGCTTGAAAGTAAGATCCTGTGCCTAAGTAATTGAATCACTGTTCAGTATTTCTGGGAGTAAAGAATTATATTGTTCAAACCTGGAATAAGGTAGAAAGGAAGAACAAAATTATATGTCATTTTTCCTTTCACTGTTACCTTAATTTAGTGTGTATTCTGACTGTTGTGTCCTTTGCCCTATTACAAGTCAACTGCATTCTCTCATCCTATCTAGAATATGTCTTGATCAGTAATTTACAATTTATTGTTGTTGTTGTTCCTTTCCAGTTTAAACGTATGCTCAACCGGGAGCTTACTCACCTGTCTGAAATGAGCAGATCAGGCAACCAGGTCTCGGAATACATATCGAACACATTTTTAGGTAAGATAGTAATGGGAGCTTTTACCTTTTTGTTTCTTTGTTTTTAAGGCTTTTAAAATTGCATTGCTTTCTGTATTGCTTTCTGTCTTCAGAAGGTGTACATTCAGTATTTCATTGGCCAGTATTTGAGCAGAGTACGGTCGATCCATTCCATCACAGTTCATTTAGTTTGTGTGTGTAGTTCCCTGTAAATGTAGTGACAAATAAATGTTCATCTACATATTGTCATGTAACGTTACAGTGATTGCTACCAAATTAAACAATGAATATATAATGAGAAGTATGTGATATATTAAAAATAGTTCTTCCATTCTGTTTCCCTTATGGCCAGAAGGAAAGTTAGAGCCAAGCGGTTTCAGTGTGCAGAAAGCAGACAATCACAAGTAACCTCATTAAATCTCACAGTTCAGATGCTTTGGTATTCCCTGCCTACCCATGAGAAGGCTGATGAATATGACTAAGTCAACATCTGAGCAGGCAGCTGCCAGGAGAGTTTGTGCAGCTAAAGAGCTTACTCTGTGGGATGCACGCATCAAAAAAGCCTTATTGCAGAATTACAAAGGCTGTGGTTTCTCCTCTATAGTTGCGCAGATCGCAGTGTGTGTATCTTGATAAAACTGGTGAAAAGGAATAAGACTTGGTTCCATACAGCTGATTTTGAACAAGAAATAAAGTAAACAAATCTGCAGTGGTTCATTAAGACTGTGCATGTGAGGGGAGAGACAGCTAGTTATATCTGAATCAGGATAACAAATGTGTTAAGAAGTACTGATCACTCATAGGATCTTTTATTTCTGCCATAGTTGGGACATTTTTTGTGCTGCTTGTCACCATAATCTGAATGGATTGCTTAATGGGCTGGTTCAGATTATCCATGATTGCAGTAGCATGCCTGAGCACTGCACTGCAGCACAGCAGGATTTCTTACATGAAGGAAGTGATGAGCCTCTATTGTAGTGAATTGCTGTCCCTCAGCTTCAGGAGTCCTGGAAATGACAGTGTAATGTTGCCTGAGAAGATGACCTACTTAGGCTAACTGAAAAGATTGAGATACCAGTATCTGCATGTCTTTACTTGAAAACTTAAGGCTCATTTTGACAGGATAAGGAAATGTATTTGTCAGCCTTACAGGATACCTCAGTCTGGGGCAGAAAGAGTGCTGGAGAAGCCATCACTTACAAATTACTGAGCCATGGATATTGTTTTGCAGCTCCATATAAATGAAAACCCATGCTTAAAAACGTAGATGAAGAGGAATACCATGGGGAAAATAACTCCACTAAATCTTATGCTTAAATAAGATGCTCAAATCTAATATTATCAAAATGCGCAGCCTAAATGTGTAGATTCTGAGCAACAATTAAAAGAAGGAAAGCATTCTCTCCGTATATAATTCATATAATATATTAAATTATCTACTAAGACAGTAACTTATCCCTGAACATCTACAGACTCACGTTTGAGATTTAGGAAGGTGTAATGAGAGATTTTCACCAATCTTCAGAATGGATGAACTGCAAATAGAACTATATGACATGTATTAAATTATTTTAATGATAACAAATACATTCCTTTTTAAAGAATTAAAGCTCCTATCTTGAGACTGCTAATATCCAAGCTTTATATTTTTCAGTGTAACTAGCATGTTTTCCTGTGAATAGAAAGTGTAAGAGAACCTGCCAATGAGTATAATATAACCAGGGTCAAAATGGCAAGTTGACTTTTGTGGATATTGGTATGGTCCTGAGACACTTTATCTCATTGTTAGCAAAATACACAGGCAATCCTGTGGAATTCCTTAGCAGATCAAAAGTTGTTCAGACAGACCCTTCCTTTCGCTTGAATTGTTCTGACAGCTCAGCTTATGAATCTCCCTTTGATGAGTCTAAGCATTGTGAATATGACCAAAACCATAAACATCAAAGCATGAACACGAGTCACTGTTCCTCATCTGTTGTCAGTTTGTACCTGTCAACAGCTCCAGTGCTTATCCTACCCCGTTTTTCCTGATTGTCCACATGTGGAGAGCCAAGTGTGGTGGGGCAACCAGGGAACTTGGTGCCGCAGGCTAAATCTTGGTGACATTTCTGCAGTCTCTTCTTTTGCTCTGATTTGTTTGGAATTTGAGGAGTCCAGTAAATGAAGACTGGTAAAGGGTAATTAAAAAGAGAACTGAAAAGGGGAAAAGTAACAAGCTAGAAATTAAGAATGGACCAGCTACTTTCATCTGGTTTCAAAGCCTTTATTGTAGATGACCATTGCAAGAAGAATAAAACAGACATATATTTTTTAAGAGCCCTGACTTTTTTTTATTGTTTTTGTTTCTTCTAAGAAATGAAATCCCGGTTTTCCTTCTGGAGTCTCACATTAGAAGTATGTCCCTGATATTCCTGGTTTTGCTGTGAGGTTTCTTAAGGGGTAGAAAACGTGCAGATATATTTTATCAGATAAGAGATGATTTAGAGGAAGTATTAAAGCGCCACATTTAAACACAACATGAATGAAATGAACAAAAATTTGTGCAAAATACTAGCAGTTTTGGCAGGAAATCTCTCTGTTGCCCTAACTTGGGTTTCACTGGAGACCACAAAGTCTGCAGTGCTCTATACCCCCATGGTGTTTCTGCAATGATCATCTGGCAATGGCCTACAGATACTTTACTCTGCCTTTAATCTTTGACAGCATGGTAGAAAGTTCTACTGGCACATACGTTGATGAGGTATATGAAGTTATGCCACTGATTCTGCTGCTAAAGCAAAAACTCAGTAGAAAATGCTGTGGTTTTTTTTTAGCAGAATAGACTTTTTGTCAGAAATACTGTATTTATAGGTGCTATAAATTGTAAGAGAAAAAAGCTGCACTGCTGATGTGAGCTGCTTTCCCATGCAAACCATTTGTTGATATGGCTCCACCAGCAAAAGCCTTTCTGTGTTGTACAAGGTCTTAGCACAAACAGCTGTCAGGTCCTTGGAGTCCTGAGATATATATATGGTCTTAATTTTTTGGTGTTTTTTTTTATTTTCCAGAAAAGAAGGAATTTTAAATTTTCTTGGCAAATGAAAATACAGTCTTCTGCTAATCTGTAGTAACCCGTTTTAAATTAAACAACTAACCCTGTTCTGCGGTAGTGCTGAGGATGCAGGGGAAGTGGAAATAAGACAGTCACAAGTCATATTTGAAGCCAGTTCAGAGATGATGCAGTTTATGATGCATAGTTCTGCTTTACTGATGTCCAGATCTATGTTTATCTTGTTTCTTGTTATTACTGCTCTCAGTGTGAAGTATCTGCTGCAAAATCTACCGTGGCAATTATAAGTTCTGTTAAATTTAATGAATGTTTAATGAAACTTAACAGTGAAGTGGACAAGAATATTTTTAATTCATTTCAAAAATATTTTTCTTCATTCTTTTGAAGATAAACAACATGAAGTTGAAATCCCTTCTCCGACACAAAAAGAGAAAGAGAAAAAGAAGAGACCAATGTCTCAGATCAGTGGAGTCAAAAAACTGATGCACAGCTCCAGTTTAACCAATTCCAGTATTCCCAGGTTTGGAGTTAAAACAGACCAAGAAGATGTTCTTGCCAAGGTAGGGAATATTTAAATATTTGAATTTAAACCACTGAACTAAAAATAGAGAACTTATTCCATCCTCTGCTTATAACCGTGATTTCAAGCTATAGCAGTAAAGGATGATCTCACTTAAATATAAATCCAGTGAAGCGGAAAAGTAACAAGTGAAATCAGAACCAGGCCTTGAGGGTTGATTTCCACATGAACAGGATTTCAGCAGGAATACTAGCTGCCTGGAAATGGGATGTAAATTAGCAGTTGTGGATACAGTAATAGTGCTGCATATTCCTAAACAATAGCTGAGGAATTAAGAGTGAACTGGTATACAGTCAGAGGAATGAAAACATGTAGCAGCCATATGTTCTTCAAAAATGCACAACTGCGTGTAGCATTAGAGCTATTGCTGGAAGTCCTGTCATTTGCTCTGTCATTTCATGCACATCTGTTTTTAGGGACACTTCCTGTGATTTTGCATCGGTAACTATATGGCAATGATGTAAAACTAGTATAAAGTGATTATTCAATCAATTTTAGATGTTTGCTTTTGGAAATATGCCTCTCTGTATGTTCCCAGGAAGCCCCCACTTCATATGAACCATCAATCCATTGCTGAGATGTGGGGAGATGGCAGCAATTCACCCCCTCCTTGAACCCACCAGGCGTGAGATGGAAAGTGTGTCAGTTTTTTCAAGATATTGTACCATTTCTCCTTCTGTAGCATTCCACTTAAAAGTGGCACTCCTTGCCTAGTAGGTTAGAATCAGGAAAGATGGTAGCTGCAAATGAAACTATTTCAAGGTTACTAGCAACAACTTTCCCCCTTGCAAAGTTTAGCATACAATATTTACAGGGCCTCTACAGCAGCCTTTGCATTATCATGGATCTGCTGTTTGTGAGTGTTTCAACTGAAAAATGCTGGAGTCCTGTATGTTAAGATTTCAGCATTGATTCTTGCTCAATTCTGTTCTAGGAACTAGAAGATGTGAACAAATGGGGCCTTCAGGTTTTCAGGGTAGCAGAGCTATCTGGAAACAGACCTTTGACAGTCATCATGCACACCGTTTTTCAGGCAAGTAGGAGCAGTCTTGCAGTTTTGTGCTTATTTCAGAAATTTTTGTTGGAGTTGGTAATCTGAATTGTTTCTCTTTTCCCTTTCTAGGAACGAGATCTGTTAAAAACATTTAAAATTCCAGTGGATACTTTAATAACTTACCTGATGACCCTAGAAGACCACTACCATGCAGATGTAGCATATCACAATAACATACATGCTGCAGATGTTGTTCAGTCAACCCATGTTCTGCTGTCAACCCCAGCATTGGAGGTAAATTATGCTTCAGTGGGAAAGAGACAAACGAGAGAAAAGGACATACTAATACCCTATGCAACTAAATGAGAAAGACTTTAGCTTCTGCAATGTTTTTTCAAAAGAAATTTTGATGTTTCTTTCATGAATTACACTCTTTAAAAGATACTTTCTGAGGATCAAGATTTATTTACCAATAAATATTATGCAGAACGTGTCATATTTTTCTTAAAATCATGATCTAATACTTGCAGATATACTTTATATAAGTATATACTTTATAACTTTTTCTACTGTCTCATTATTAACTGCCTCCTCTTCCATCATTATTTCACTTTTGGGACTCCCACTCACTACAGTGAAATTGCTTAGAAAAGATGAGGGTATAGTGGGCTTTACTCAGTAGAGCCATTTGTTTTTTGTTTTGAATTTGTGCATGCTTGTACTGGCTATGGAAGGCTGTTTAGCTATTTCTGTGTTTATTGTCAAGCAGATTGGAGCACATGCTAAATTTTCTCTGGATTATCTAATTTTTTTCATAAAAAAAGTGATAGGGGTGCAGCCCTCATTACATCAAGCACTGACATATCCCAGTGAGGTGCTGGAAAAAGGAATGTAAAGCAAGCAGGTGAACGAAGGCTTTGTCCTCATTTTCAAAGATGGACTGCATTTTAATTCCTTTTCATTGCAACCAATCTTTCAAATTACTGAATTCCTCTGCTCTACTTTCCTCTTAATGGGAGGGCCATCATTGGATCTTAACACAGTTGGCAAAGATCCTTAAAGTCTCAGGAGTTCTCTTGAGAAAGATTTTAATCATCTCCAAAGGAACATGAGACTATGTTCTTAAATCACTCTGACTTTACTAAACAGCTGAGCTGATTGTAAGGTCCTTTTTTTTTTCTTTCTGTTAATTAATCATCTGTTTCTTATGGCCTTGTTCTCTGAAGCTTTGTGAAGTAAAATCTGCCCAATGCCATTGCTGACCTATGTATTTCAGTGTTGTTGATCAGTTATGAAAGCCATTATATAACTTGAAAGCTTGTGACAGAAGGAGCATGGGCTCAGTAACATAATGGATCCCTTGCAGTTCTTGCTCCCTACCTTTCTGATAATCTCATATGGAATAAAAATCAATAAATGTTAAGTAAGATATCTTAGTAGTTTATCACCATTTCTTCTCACATCACTGAGGAGATGTTCTTTCTTCAAGTGCAGGAGTATGTGTTGTTTGTGTAATGTAGGCTGGAATTTTTAGCTTGAGTTTCTACTATAAATCAGAAATCTAAATCTGTAATTAATGATCTAATAGAAATGGACTTATTTGCAGACTGAAACTGAAAAATACTTCAGTTATCGAATTTAGTGAAGCTGTCAATGTGAAATAAGGATAGTTTTACTTTGGGCAACCTTGAAAATTTTATGAAATTCTACATGACTGATGATTTACAAAAGGTTTTAGTAACCTATATGTAAAATATATTGAGATTCCTGATGCATTTCAAATGTGTTTTGCTTGTTCAGTCAGATCTAGATTCAAAGTTGAGTTTTTTTGGTTTTTGTTTTGTTTTGGTTTGTTTTTTTACTGAAAACAGTTTTTCATTTATTAGTGATTGTCATTTCTGTTTCATGGTTTTCTAGGCTGTGTTCACTGATTTGGAGATTCTTGCAGCAATTTTTGCCAGTGCAATACATGATGTAGATCATCCTGGGGTTTCAAACCAGTTTCTTATCAACACAAGTAAGTTTCATGTTCAGTGGTTTTCTCAAGAATTTGCTGCAAAATCTGTACTTAGCACCTGAAAAATATGCAGTTAACTCCTTGTTTGTTTGCATCTGTACCTTCCTTCATTAAACAGGTAGATGTTTATATATAAAACTGAATACTATTTTATATTATCTGTTACTTCAGACATAAAATACGCGTAGTATCCACCAGTAGAATTAAGATATGAAGTATAATTCTGGCACTGTTTCAGTGTATTGGATATTGTCTCTTTCCTAGAAGTTAGTTAGTTTGTTTAAATTAATTAGATAAAGTTGTGGAAGATAAAGGAAGATTAGAAAAAAGAGCGGTTATGTTGGAATCATACATTATGACCAAGGATAGCCATACTTTTTGAAAAAAATATAGAAAATAAGTTTCTTTTTAGAAAACAGATCACCAAGACCATCTCTGCCTCTCCCCAGCTGTTGTGCTTATTTTCTCATCTTGACACAGTCATGCCTCTCGGACTGAATTTTCTCAGCCTACCCCTGCAAACTGTAGCAAATCTCTTTTTTGTCAGTCTAGATTGTGCTCTGTGTATGGAGGAAAATAAACTAACGAAGTGAGATCCTAATGCCATCTCCAGATTTGTTGTTTTTCTGCATTTTTCATGGCTGTTCTGTGCAGCATCGCATGGATTACTTCCTCTCTTTTATCTTCTGCTCAAAAAGCACTGCGAGTCTCATTGAGTACAGCAGTGGCATATTTACTGAATGGCTTCTTGCCACCTGTAATTTGCTTTGATTACAGTGTGGGTACCATGCTGTCAGTCAGTGCAAGTTCTATCTTAAAATATTATTTATTTTGACATCCTTTGTCTTCTCCTTTTACTAACCCAGAAGTACAGAATTGAAAATAATGCGAAATATCCAAGCACATAAGAAGAAAAAGCTACATAAATGAGAACACATGTAGGGTTTTGTGTTTGACCCATGCGGTTTGCACATTCATAGGCACTGTCATTTAGGCACATGCGTGAATCTGTTCCTCTGGTTCTAAAATAGTATGACCTCATATCAACAGGATAGTCTGAAGAAGGGAGATCCTGTTCTGACTCATTGCTGCTGTACATTCAGATAACACTTCCAGTCTAGCCTGCATCTAATTTTATTTGCCTGAATGGCCTGAGGGCTACCCTGTAGTGAAATTCAATTTGGTGACTAATCTACAAGGTAGAGGAGATCCCTGTGTTGGTAACAAGTGCAGTTCAGCAGTGTGGTGCAGAAATGTAGTAAACCAGGCACTGTGCATGAAACTGTGGTGTCCAAATTCTTTCATTTTTAATAGAAATTGGATATCAGGTGATATCTGTGGCTCTGAGGTGCTATGTGGAAAGTTTTTTTTTGAATGTTATTTAAGTTAGCAGTAAGAATGGCTAGATGGGGGGGACCAGAATTGCTATGTGAAACTCACCTTTAGGCAGATGGTTGAAATTCAGCTGAATTAGCAGTAATTTTGGTTTAGCAGCTTAGAAGAAATGTCCTGTCCCTCTCTGTTCAGCTTTAGATAGAGAAGGCTTTTATGTAAATCAAGTAGTGTCACCAGCTGGAACTACTGTTGCCAAGCTCAAAGGAAATGGGATTTTTGTCGCTTGAGTTGTTACATATATGAACCATATGAGCAGAGACAGACAAAGACCATTTAATTTAGGTTTGTTTAGGTATCTACTAACTGACGTTTTCAATGAGAGCTTGAGAATCAGTGATGACATGGATTATACACATACAAAATTTCTCAAATCTGAGATTTTTCTAACCTCCACAAGATCATTTTCTTCCACTTAGGTTTAAGTTTTCCAATGAAACTTAGAAAGTATTAGCATTTCACTAAGAATTGTGCAAATACTTAAGCTTAATTGATCTCCAGTTACCTTAATTATGTACTTATTTCCATATTTCACATTATTTTTTATAACTATTTATATGTGATATTTATAAATATTGCTTCCCTTTTTCAAAGTTTAAGGTCTATTTACAAAGCTGTCCAAAAATGTGATCCCTCAGAAATACTATTAAAATATAAACAGATATGGATTGTATTAGTGACAGGGTAGATAACTATTTGATCATTTTAAGCTTGCCCTTTCAGACAAATAGTCTTGAAGGTTACAGTGTGCTACAAAGTTTACCAACAAGATGAACTTTCTTCCATTTCCACCTCCGTTACGTAGTTAAACACGTTTTAGCTCAGTCTGTAATTCCAGCCCTTCTGAAGCAGTTCAGCAATGATAAATGCTTTGCAGATGGAGTAGCTTTCAGGATGCTATTTGGAAGGAAGATAAACTGCTACCTGTCCTCTTTGTAAGAAAAATGATAAGTAGGCAAGCTCTATAAGTATTCTGTGAAAGAGATACAATTTGACAAATTTGCTTTCTTTTTCCTTTTACTATTACATTTTTGCTGCCGTCAAGATAAGGGAAGGTAGAGGAAGATTTTCTCAGTTTATGAGATCAATAGGTTCAGGACAAGTGAGGAAGACAGCAGGAGAATACGTAATGAAACTAATGAAATCTGAAGAGCAGGGCTTTTATAGGCACCCCACTGAGCCAGAGGAATTTTGAAACAAAGCTGTGATAAAGGAAGATAAAGCGACAGGGTTTAGAACAGACTTGCATATGGTTAGATTTCAGATAGAACAACTAAGAAATAGAAATTAATGTCAGCACTTCACAAGCGTAATTGTATAAAAAGTATGTCTTTTTGATAATAGATTCATTTTCAAGCCAACCTGGCTGTGTGGTGTCCCTGTGTGAAACCTAAATCTGTGTAGAAAATTGTCTTAACTGCCTTTATTTGTCAAAGCTGACTGTTCAAACTGTTTGTATATGCCTCAGTACAGGCATTGCTAAGAAGGGATATGAGTTCCACTTGCTCCTGCAACTACCTGAATGACTGACTGAAGAACAGTTTTGTTGGAGATAGCAGCATTTTGGCATCAGGAGTTAAACATACTCAAATATGAGGCTGTAGACAAGGCCACTGCTTGCATTTTCAAACCACACAGAAATGTATTACTGTCCTATGAATCTTCTCTACAGACGTCCTGTTCTCATAGACTAATGACCCCTAGGCCTACTTATGTGATAACTGCAGAAGTACATTGGAAACCAAGATACATGCTCTTTGCTTGATCTGCAGCAAAGCTTCAGCTGTGTATTCCCAGATCTGAGTAGCTGATAGATACAACTTCACTTAAATAATTGAATTTTTGCACACATGGTGGCAACAAAGACAGGACTAGAAGAAAAAAACATTAGAATGTGCTTTAGTTTGTGCATTTTTGTATAATATTTTCCATATTGTTTCGTGTGTAGATGAAAAGGTATTCTGAAAAATATCTTCCTTGTGTTGTTTTCTAACTCACCATTCCAGCACACTGCACTGCAAGGCTGGCTTTTTTCCAGCATACTTTTCCTTGATTGTTAAGATATTCAGTTAATTCTGTAAGTTTTGGTTCTGTGGGAACTACAGGAAGTCTGTTACTGAAAGCTCATCTGTAAATCTTGTTAGGAATGTAATGAGTTTGAAAAATCATAAGGGATTTAGTGGAAATAAAGATTTTAGTAACGTTCTACCCTATGACTATTATTGCAGATTCTGAACTTGCTTTGATGTACAATGACTCATCAGTACTGGAGAATCATCACTTAGCTGTGGGTTTCAAGCTGCTCCAGGAAGAAAATTGTGACATTTTCCAGAATTTGACCAAAAAACAGAGGCAGTCATTAAGGAAAATGGTCATTGACATTGTGAGTTCTGTTTTAGAGCCTTTTTTCCTCAGAGCCAGTGAAATAAATGGTAAAACACAGTCTCATTTTACATGATGTTAGATCTATAATCAATGAAATCAAAATTTGAAGTTTTATTCTGTGTTGTCCAAACATAAGTAGTGAGTTCTTTTCAATTTGAATTACTGACTCTACCTTTTTAGAAGGTACACAGTCCTGGTTCAAGCTGTTTCATAATTGATGTGTAAGTCTGCTATTACACGACCATAGTTACAAATTTTCTACTGAATTGATGATGGACACTAGTGGCACATGGGACTCAGACTTCTGTAGTATACTCAAATTCAGGCACAGAAGTTACATTTTTTCCCTGAGAATAGTTTGTTGCTGCATCCAAAGGCTTTTTTAAAGTCAGTAGAATAATTTACGTAATACTCATTTATCCATTCTTTCTCTTTTATTGTTTATTTCAAGGTCCTTGCTACAGACATGTCTAAGCATATGAATCTTTTGGCTGATTTAAAAACTATGGTTGAAACCAAAAAAGTGACAAGTTCTGGTGTCCTACTTCTTGATAACTATTCAGATAGGATTCAGGTAAGAAAACTCATCTTCAAAGAGTCATTTGTATTAATTTCTGTTAATAACTTTTGCCTACAAACCCCCAGTGTGGATTAGGTCAGCTGTCCATTTTCACACATTTTATGACTCGTTCTTTTCCCTCTTTCGACTTACATGTTTCTTACATGTGACATATTCCATTACATACTGAGTGATACGGTGGAAAAGTACTTGTAGACTGGTTTTGGTTTTGCCCTATTGTTCAAATTACCAACATCTCATTGGTCTTTCTCTGAAATATTTTCTGTCTCTTACATAGGCAGAAGCAGCAGAAGTGAGGTAATTCATAGCTATTACTGCAAGTGTGAAAAACATCCAAATACTGAGTTTTGCTGTTCAGAATAGATCTTGCACTACATGTATTTTCATGATTCTGCTTCACAGCCACCAAATGTGTAAATGGAAAAGGAACTGTTTTTCTTTAGTGTAATAACACAGCAGGTGTTCAATCTATTTTAGGTTCTTCAGAATATGGTGCACTGTGCAGATCTCAGCAATCCAACTAAGCCACTCCATCTCTACCGCCAATGGACAGACAGAATAATGGAGGAATTCTTCCGCCAAGGAGATCGGGAAAGAGAGAGAGGAATGGAGATAAGTCCCATGTGTGATAAGCACAATGCATCTGTAGAAAAATCACAGGTAATTGATTTGGTATGCCTTTCTTGGGAAAAGAATGTCCAAAGCCATTCTTTATATTTCGGTATGTTTCTGAAAGTGGTATTTCTTCCCCTCTCTCCCCCTACTTCTCCCCACAGTTAATTAATTCAGCTCCTGTGTAGCAAGTGAGGGGAGCTGAGGTTCTTACTGTGGAAACAGTGCATAGCACTGTGCTTGTTGAAGGAATTCCATCGCTATTGTGATCTGCAATGAAGCACTGGCTTCAGTAAAGAATATTTTATAGCTGCTCATTTAGGATTTCTTCCAAAAGCAGAATTAAATATGAAACAGCTGTTTGGCTTGCTAGATGCAGTGGAATCATTTGCAAAGAACAATTACTGTGAAAACAAATCCTTTCCAAGTCTATATCCAGAATTCTGAATGAGGCATCTGAAATGCTAAAAGACCCTGTTCTCTGCATAGAACAGCAAGGGTTACTTTCAGACACCTTAAGAGCAGTGTGTCTAGTGTCTCTTACTAGAGTTATCTTTCTCAGACATTATGTTCTGTTTATTTTTGACTGCATAAATACCCAAAGCTTCTATGCAGTAAATAGATTAAATGACTGTGACTTATATGCATGGTTTATTATTTCTTTGTGAATAAGATCTCACCCTGATTTTGTACTACTTGAAATAGGTGGGCTTTATTGACTACATTGTTCATCCTCTGTGGGAGACATGGGCAGATCTTGTTCACCCGGATGCCCAGGATATCTTAGATACACTGGAGGACAACCGAGAATGGTACCAGAGCACAATTCCTCAGAGTCCCTCTCCTGCACCTGAAGACCAGGAGGAGGGTAGGAGACAGGGCCAGACTGAAAAATTCCAGTTTGAACTAACACTGGAGGAAGATGGTGAGTCAGACACTGAAAAGGACAGTGGAAGTCAAGTAGAAGAAGACACCAGCTGCAGTGACTCAAAGACCCTTTGCACCCAGGATTCAGAATCTACTGAAATTCCTCTTGATGAGCAAGTAGGGGAAGAAGTAGAAGAGGAGGAGAATCAGACAGAAGCTTGTGTAGTAGACCATTCTTCTGACACGTAACGATGAGGACATAGCTTGTTTCTTTCTTGCCCTCTCCCTTTTTCTTTCTCTTTCTCTCTCTCTTTTTTGTGGTTTTTTGTTTGTTTGTTGTTGCTGTTGTTGTTATTGTTATTGTTGTTGTTGTTGTTGTTGTTGTTGTTGTTTTAATTAGGTAATGGTTTAAAGTGTATGTCGTATGCTATCACCATGATCACAACTCACTGTCATCAGCCAGGATGTTTGTTGATCAAAACTGACCTTGGTGACTCAGTTTGGCACTCAGGAATATTGTAACCAGAATCTTCACCTTCATTGCATCAGAAAGCAGGGGAGAGAACATTGATAAACTACGTTTTAATAAGCTCTCCATTTCGCAAATTTGATTAAATAAAGCAAATGTTTTCACAGGAGCGCCACCTGAATGCTGGTATACTTTGGTAGTTTTTGATTTTATTTTACTTCACAAGCTAAGCATTGGATAATGTTCATCATCAGAGGAAACAGAAAGAAAATAAACTGAGGTTCCTGCTGGAAAACAAATGCACACAAACGATGGGATACAACATGAATCTGTATAAGACGAATCTGTCACCAATAGGAAGATGAGCTGTGGAAATTACATGATTTTCTAACTTCAAGTCTTCCTGATGAGTGACTGAAAAAAGTGTGACACGGTGGGTTGCACAAAACTCTGCATTTTGTATAATATGTAAAAGTGATCTTTTGTAGAGCTAACTTTTATTATTAAATGTACTGAGGTATTATGTTTAAACAAGAACATTTTCAGATTTCATCACATTTTTTTTCCAAAGAGTAACTTGCAAGTTTTCAGTACAAATCTGTGCTACACTGGATAATACTTCTAGGGTTTTTTTTTTTTTTTTTTCCTTATTATTTTGCACCTTAGAATTTCATGATAATATTAAGTTGTAAGAGTTTATTGTTTTATATATTAATGAGTTCCATGAATATCCTTTATGCTACCTAAAACTCATTCAGTATAATGGCATTTTTTTGTTGTTTTCATTATAATGTTCCCAAACATATTAGAGGAAGTTTTGCTGTTGTTCTTATAGTGGCTTGATCCTGGCAATTCTGTCTTACTACCAAAATGGTCCTGTTGATACCAGCTGGACCACTGAGATTAACATTTGCAGGAGCAGAGCCAGTAAGAAAGATAATGAATTGTCTTTTTGATATGAAGACTGCTTTTTTGTCTCTCTGAAACACAATTTTCAGATATTGTTTTGCCTGGGAACTATAGACTGCTAAGTCAGCACAGGCTAATACAGTGTTTGGGATATTTATTTTGGCAAGGGAAGCATTACTGTAATGTTTCCAATTCTGACTCTTTGTATTTTTTTTTTGTCTGTTAGCTATCTAGTCAGACCATTTGCTAATCTCTGACATACATACAACATAGAAATCATGATTAGCATTACTGTTTTCATGTTTCTGCTGCCAGAAGAGCCAGATCCCTCTTTTGTGTTAATACTTCTAAGTAAATGAGCAATGCATTATGAGAAGAGGTGCAGTGTACTCTACGTTATTATTATCTCAGATCTTTTCATTCTGTGTAGAGCTTGCGCTGAGGGAATCCTACTTTCAAGTCTGATTGGTACTGAAAGCTTTTGTTATTTGGAAAACTCAGTGAAGTTAGGAGCTCATATTTGTTATTTTCCTGACCTTTTGGGTCACGTGAAACAAAATAATTTCATCTGCACTGCTTTGCACTTCATTAAAATTTTATAAAATTTTACATAAAATTGTAGTTTTGACTAGGGAAAGAGTTGCCTGGAGAAGGAGTAGACTCCCACAGTATCAAGATAGAAGGCTTCAGAGAGACCTCATTTTGGCCTTCCAGGACTTGAAGGGAGTGTATAAACAGGAGGGGGTACAGTTATTTAAAAGGGTGGATAGTGATAGGACAAGGGAGAATGGTTTTAATCTGAGACAAGGGTGGTTTAGGTTAGATATTAGGAGGAAGTTTTTCACACAGAGGGTGGTGACACACTGGAACAGGTTGCCCAAGGAGGCTGTGGATGCCCCATCCCTGGAGGCATTCAAGGCCAGGCTGGATGTGGCTCTGGGCAGCCTGGTCTGCTGGTTGGTGACCCTGCCCACAGCAGGGGGGTTGAAACTGGATGATCATTGTGGTCCCTTTCAACCCAGGCCATTCTATGATTCTCTGATACTATGATTCAAGATTATTTCTTAACAAAAGAAAATATTATCAACAATCATATCCAATTTGGATTCATTTCTTAGGAAAATTGCAAGATATAAAAACAAGTGGTTTGTTTGTTTGTTTGTTTGTTTGCTTTTTAAGTGTCTGAGGTCTAGAATAAGAACTTGTTTAAAAAGTATTGGCTCACAGTTCAGCTTTTAAATGTATTTTGCATTCTCCTTTATCCAGGTCAAAGTTTTCTCTACTTCAGCCCTCACAGGGCTTTAGCACAGATGATGATGAAGGAGGAAAGAGAAAGAAGAGAACTCATGTTTTTTCATGTTTTGATTTTTTTGTTCTTCATCATTTCTTCCCGATCCACCCTAAAAATCTTCTCAATCCCCAAGAGTGCCTGGAACTTTAATAACGGAAAAGCAATATAAATTCCAAAATAACCAGTGAAACCTGAAAAAGTTTTATATCTGCACAAATTGAAAGTAAATGAAGAAAATAACACCATATTGTGAAATATATACCCATACATACGGACAATCACATAACAGAAAATGATATCATTTCTTAGAGATGGGGATATAATGCACTGTACAATCTTTTTTTTTTTTTCCTCTTTTGCCAAAGTGTGTTTTAGCATTGTGCACTGCTTTAAAACAGTACAACTTACAAGTGGCTTTATGTGTTCTGAGTATTTTTGCCATAAGAAAATGCAATGAGTTGGGTACTGAGTGCAGCAACGGGGAGGGGGGTAAGAAAATTCACATTGCTTATAACAGTACGCTTTAGCTTGCAAGTTACTGTACTCAATAATGCTGTGTTTGAATTTTTAACTGTTTTGTGTCATTGTTAAAAATTATAATGAAAGGATATAGATAGAACAAACAGCATTCAGAAGTTTAAAAAACTTGAATGAAATGGATTTTACAGAAAGCTTTGACAATTCTTTTAAAATGCATTATTTATTTTATTTGTGCCATGCATTTTTCTCACCAAATGACCTTACCTATAATACAGTCTTATTTGTCTCTGTTTACAACTGTGTATTTATTGTAATGTACATACTGTAATGTTAATTGTAAATTATCTGTTCTTATGATAACATCATCCTTGTCTGGGTGGTGTTGCTATATTTGGAAACTCTTGGTGAGAGAATGATTATTGTGTATACATATTCCTTGTACATTTTTTTCTCCTGTAATATATTCTGTGTCACCTTAGAGCTTGTTTATGGAAGATTCAAGAAAAGTATAAAATACATAAAGATATATCAATAAAATTAAAAAAAAAAAAAAAAGAAAAAAAAAAAGCTGCAGGTCTTTGGTCCCAGGGCTGTGCCTTAACTTCAAACAATATTTTCTTCTGTTTTGCTGCATTTGAGGTAGCTTTGGGGATAGGGCTGGGCATATTTATTATATTTTCAGTTGCTAGCTGATGTGGTTACTTGTGCAAGCTAGTTTGCATGATACTACAGAGAGCTTTCATTCATAAACATGCTGGAAGTTGAAGCTTTTCCAGACTTCTGGCAATATAATTGTATTGCCTCTCTGATTATCTTTTTACAGGCTATCATCAGGGATTATTGCAGCCATTACTTGCTACTAAAAAAACATTGATGTTGTATTTCAGTACTGAATTGTGCTGAACAAGCTTTGGAAAGCATCTCTAATAAGCATTTGGTTTTAATGCATATTTGCAAATGAAACAAATGGAACTAAATGGGGATAGCTCATATACTTGTTTTTTAAAGATCATCTAATACTCTTTATTTAGTAGCACAAATTACCACTATATAAGCAGAATCAATAAAGTAGGACAAAAGACCGCTTCAATCTTGGAAATGCTTTCCAACACTAATATTAGTGTTATAAGCAGCCAAAGCTTTTATTTTGTATAGATGTATGTAAGGCTTTGTACAGGTGTGTATAGCATAATGCACTAGATCTATAGGAGAATGATAGGCCTCTAGATCTTTTAATAACACTAGTATTAGGTTTGCAGGTTGGACTCTGAGCATCTCTTGCTGTTTGAGTATCATGTTGCTCCAAACTGCGTAGGACTGATAGCAATGGATTTGCCAGAGTAAGGTAAATACCTCTCCTCATTCCAGTGATGCCCAGCCCCTGTAGCATGCGACCTTTTGTTAAAAGGAGTGATTCTTTTTCAAGAGAAAACAGAGCCTCCTTTTTGACACAAACTGTAGATTTTAGCAGCCCTGGCCCAAAGAAAATGGATTGCTTTTGTTTTAACAGTATAAAAGGGACACTATAACAACAAAAATCCTGAACAACTTTTTGTTATTAATTTGGGGATGTCTTGAGAGTGGCAACTTGTGTGAACATTGCACATGACAATTCTTTCACTGGTTTCTTAGCCTCTCTTACAGCCTGTGGGATAGTACTGTACATCAATACCTTCATATGAAAGTTTTATATGCAATGGAAATAAAGCATGTGTTGATTCTGCCTAGTTACCGTATTTGATTTCCTTTTGCAAGTTTTTTGGTTTTTTTTCCACTTACGTATCATAGCTGTGACATCTCAAGTAAAAGCATTTGCCAGAATAATTATATTGCAGTATTTTTCTTCATCATACTATAGTATGGGTAGATAATAAAAAATAAATGTGGGGGTTTATCACATGAGATGAGTCACTCAAATGTGATAGTTCATGAAGTCTAGTAAAGAGAAGAGCTATGCAGTTGTCTAGAAAAGCATTCAATCTCAATTTTATGAAATTTTACTATTTACTTTAGTTGCAGAAGAAGCATATCCCAAGAAAATTAAGTAAGTGTCAGCTTTAAAGGAGCTAGGAAGGTAGGGATTGCCTAGAGAAGCAATACACTGAAATAGCAGTAAGGGGGCCGGAGAGAAAGGAGCGTATTGTAATTATATATTGACCAGACAATCTCTGCTCTACATGAATAAAAAG